AGGCGATGCGGAGAGGCTGGGACGTCAGTGGGGAGGACGATTCGCAGAGAGAAGAGTTGTGCCACAAGAAAAGGGAGGACAGTAGAAAGGAAAACTTTAGCTGGGGAGATCACGCAGAGCATGAGATAAAAGGGAGAGACAACCAGAAAGGAGGTGAAAGTAAGAAGCAGGAACGTGACTTCAAGAGAGCATGGCAGACAGAAGCATGCGGGAAGGCAGACGGACACAGTTGACAGCACAGCAGGCAAGCATGGGTGGGTGGGTGCAGCAATAAGGGAGGGTGGGTGCAGCAATAACGATTACACTCACCCTATTCTTTTCCAACCAACATCCTCCCTTCTATCCTTTGCTGATCCACCGTTCCATCCTGCTGCCCTCAGTCTCCCCTCATTGCCTCCTTGCGTCCTCCCTCCAGGCACTGCACTTGCAACTGAAGTGACAAATCCACACATTAGTGCGTGTAGGAGGGAGTAGCATAGAAAGAGTAGACCTGAAAAAATATTTCTTCAACAGTAAGCAGTAAACCGGAAAAGTAAGGAGTGGGCTGCAAAGAGGCAGTGACCTGATCTAGTGTGTGGCTTGTGGGCAGGGCAGAAGGACACAGTCGGCAGCACAGCATGGCAAGCATGTGTTGGTTGGTGCAACGAGGCGAGTCACTCACCCTGTTCGTCTCCGAACAACCCATCCATCCTCCCTTCTGTCCTCATCCTCATCCTCCCGTGGCTCCTCAGAAGGCGGATCTCACTCCTCACTCACACCGCACCTTCGTGGGGACGCCTGTCAGCACATCCCTGGGCCTCGGTCAGAGAAGACACCCCAACTCAGAGATACAGCACAGCAACAAGCACAGAGGAGAGTACTTTAAAAGAAGCAATGGAGTCAGACTCAGAAAGAACCATGATGACTTGCCGCACGGCGACCTAGATTTCTTTACCCCCCCGATAGACCCATCAGCCACTTACCGTTGTGCAGTTGTGAACGAAAGTCTCGCTCATCAGACCCGTGACGCCTCAGAAGGCGGATCCCCACTCCTCACTCGCACCGCACCTTTGTGGGACGCCCTGTCAGCACATGCCTGGGCCTCAGTCAGTCACGGAGACACCCCAACCCAGAGAAGCCAATACAACACAGTAGCAAGCAGAGAGGAGAGATCTTCAGAAGCAGCAATGGAAACAGACTCAGAAAAAAACCATGTTGATTCTAAGACTTGCGGCATGGCGACCTAGACTTTTTTTATCCCCCCAATGAATTCGACGGACAACTTACCATTTTGCTCAGGGACACAGTCCCTACAGCTCTTCTCCCACTTCCCCCCCCCCCTACACCTTCTGCTACTGCGGCTTTTGTTGCTGCTCAGAGGTCAATTGCCTGATCCTCATGTCTCCTCCACGGTCCTCCTCCTCCTGCCCACCCCACACGCACATAACAACAGAGGCAGTCACGCAAGAACACACACATGTAATAGACCGAAACCTCTGCAGGAAAGATGCTGGGAAGGTGGAACATTCGACTAAAGACACCGCTGCGGCAAACTGCCACGTCCTACGCGCGCTCCCACATGCTCTCCACGCCACACGCACCTTTGCAAAGCAGCTCTGCTGCCGTCAGTGTGCTTCAAATCCGCTCTGCTGCCGTCAGTGTCCATGCGCCTCAGTCAGGGAGGGACCGGAACCAGAGCAGCGAACACCACAGAAGCAGACGAACAAGCACACGGGAACAAGCACACAGGAGCGTGCATGAGAGTCAGCAGAAGAAACCGACTGAGAAGAAATTAAATTCACCTCTACGACTTGCCGCACGGCGACCTAGGCTACGCTTCCCCCCTCGAAGCACCCTTCCAACAGCTTACCGTATCGCCATGGTGGTTCAAATCTTGAGACGTCAGAAGGGCGGATCCTCACTCACTCGCAGAGCCCCTCCCTGGGACGCAACGCACCACCCCTCCCTTGGCAGGTTGCTCCAGGTTGCTCGGTTGCTGCCGCTGCCCGTGCTTGTTGGCCGTCAGGAACACACACGCATGGGAGGAGAGACAGCCACACAGAAGCGGGACCAACCAATAAGGGAGGGTTAGAAGGAGCAGGAGGCGAGTGTCGGAGGCAAAAGCAAGAGACACGACTCTTGCCTCTGCGCGGCGACGCCCTACGACTCACCACAGCCCCCCTGCAAGCACCCCCTGGCACGTACCATGCTCTGTCCGCCGCTCTGCCGCTCCTGCGAGCCACGCCTTCACTTCAGGCGTGCTGCTCGACGTAATGCTGCTCACCACGGCCCCCCTGCAGGCACCCCCTGGCACATAACACAATCTGTCCGCTGCTCTGGCACTCCTGCACCACGCCTTCCCTTCACGCCTGCTGCTCCAAGTTGCTCCAGGCTGCTCCGTAGCTCCGGCTGCCCATGCTCGCAGGCCGCGAGGCACACACACGCATGGGGAGAGAGACACGCACACAGAAGCGGCACCAACAAGGGAGGGTTAGAAACAGCACGAGGCGAGTGGCGGAGTCAAAAGCAAGAGACATGACTCTTGCCTCTGCGCGGCGACACTCTACGACTCACTTTCCTCCCCCCTGCAGGCACCCCTTGGCACATACCACACTGTGTCCGCTGTTCTGCCACTCCTGCACCATGCCTTCCCTTCACGCCTGCTGCTCCAAGTTGCTTCAGGTTGCTCCGTTGCTCCGGCTGCCCATGCTCGCAGGCCGTGAGGCACACACACGCATGGGGAGAGGGACACGCACACAGAAGCGGCACCAACAAGGGAGGGTTAGAAGGAGCATGAGGCGAGTGGCGGAGTCAAAAGACATGACTCTTGCCTCTGCGCGGCGACGCCCTACGACTCACCACACTGCCCCTTGCAAGCACCCCCTGGCACGTACCATGCTCTGTCCGCCGCTCTGCCGCTCCTGCGAGCCACGCCTTCACGTGAGGCGTGCTGCTCCACGTTATGTTGTTCTTGTCGTTGTTGCTGTTGCTGCTGTTGCTGCTCGGAGCTTTCGGCTGACCCTCCTTGCCTCGTCTCCTGTGCGCCTCCTCCTCTCCACACCACATACACAGCAGCAGAGAGGAGAACACACACATGGGTTAGACCGAGCTCATTTCGAGAAAAGACACTGAATGACAGGAATAGCCGATTCAAGACACCTACGCGGCGGACTCCTACGTCCTATGCGCCCCCCCGCTTGCGTGCTACGCACACGCACCTTTTTTAGCGGCATCTGCTGTCGTATGCGTCGAATCCGCGCTGCTGCTGCAGATACCACCCAGTGTTTCGCAATCCGCGTTTAGCCGCTGCTGTTGGGTTAATTCTGCGTCGCACACGCACATCTTGATCCGAGACGCTTCTACTTGCAATATTCTGCGTTCCGCCACGCTTCTCTATCCTTCGCGTTTTTCCTCGAAGCACAGATTGCGAACGACAGCGAATGTCGGCGACCTCAGCGCAACGTAGCGAACGGTAGCGCGTCGCACAACAGCGAAAGTCGGCGACCTCAGCGCAACGTAGCGAACGGTAGCGCGTCGCACAACAGCGGAAGTCGGCGACCTCAGCGCAACGTAGCGAGCGGTAGCGCGTCGCACAACAGCGGAAGTCGGCGAACGGTTGGAAACTCAGCGAAGACTCGGTGAACGGTAGCAGTTCTGCGAAAGGCAGCGACACTCGGCGAACAGCAGCAGCTCCGCGAATGGCGGCGACACTCGGCGAACGGCACCCATAGTCGGCAAACGGTAGCGGAACATGGCGAACGGTAGCGGAACATGGCGAACGTCAGGAGCGAAATTGGCGAACGGCAACGAAAAGCGGCGGCCGCGAACTCGGCTAACTGCAGCGACACTCGGCGAAGAGCAGACAAACTCGGCAAACGGCAGCGAGAGTCGACGATATGCGAAAACGGCGAACGGACGAAGGGACGGCTGGATGAAATGCCGTGTGCAGAGACGGAAATGACCAGCGTGGTAGGCGGCATCGAAGATAATGACCAGCTGGATCCCAAGTTAAGATCGCTAAGGTGGTTAGCACCGCACCCTAAAGGTTCTGAATCTAGCGTACGTCCTGACAACGGATAATGGAGACCGCGAGTCTATTCTGCAACTAGGAACCGTGTACCAAGGTCGTTGATCGGTCCTGCGACTTAGAACCGAAGAGGAACTTCGGTTCCATGCTGCGGCTTACAACCGCGTACTAAGGTCCTCCTGCGTCTCAAAGCCATGTAATAGGCTTGTTATCTATTCTCCGTCGTAGGTCTGGAATCTGTATCCTAGGATCAGTCATAGACGAGTCGCGACCCCATACTCTTCATACTGTGAATAAGGTATTCCCTACGGACAAGCCTGTGTTCTCGCGTCGCTCCAGGCGCATTAATCTCTAAAATCAACAGGCGGACTATTGAAAGGTATGCCGACAACGAGACTAAGCTAGAGAGTTTGGTAAGTGGAAGAAACAGAGCTCAGCTGTGTGAGTGAAAGAAGGTGATGATGGCCAGGATTCAGGAAGGATGGAGTTCTGCTTGAAATGTCTGCTGAGGGTGGGAAGGCCAATGTCGGAGACGCCACCTCTGACAATCCCGGCGAAAATTGGCGGCAATCTCGAGGCGCGAATGAAGGAGCTTGATTTTCTGTAAGAGAAATGATAAGCGAGAAGAGTACAATGTAGAAAATGTTCAAAGAAAATTGAAGTGAAGCACTGGTAACACTTTTCAAACTGGCACCAGAGCTTTCGTGAACAAACTCGTAGTGAGCCGCTGTAACACTTTCGTGAAACGGCAACATCATACTTGGTGGATCTGTTTTCTCGGGAGTATCTTCTGCTCTACGCCTCTCACCATTCCGCACCCCACCCCAGCGTTCTGCGGAGCAGCTCACTTCTGTTACCGCCATTTCCCACGGGGGATTTCACTGTTGTGCAAGATGTGCTTGTGAGAAGGGAGGTATTCTGTGGCCCCATACTACTAAAGCGGTACTAGGGTTGGTAACCTCTTTTGCGAACACCTGCGGACAGCTCTTTCGCAATGACTTCCTATCACGGCGGCTGTGGCGCGGGAGGCTCGGCAGGTGATGATGGCGCTCCCAGTGCCTCGGCGGCCCGCGCTGGTGCTTCAGGCGGCGGGGAAGACGAGGCGGGAGCGATAGGGCGCGCCGCGGCAGGCGCCGCAAGGGCAGGCGAGGCCACGTTGGATGATTTTTCAGATGCGCTGGTGGACGCACCGCACTCGCTCTCCGCGGCGGAAACAGCAGCAGCGGCGGAAGCAACAGCAGCGGCAGGAGCGGATGGTGGTGCATCGCCTTATGGTGCCAGTGCGGGTAGCACGGGTGCTGTGAACAGTGTGGAGGAGGGGATTGAACGAGAGAGGGGGCGAGAGACAGGGGAGACAGGGCATTCTGGCGTAACAGCAGGGCCAGGAGAGGCAGGGGGAACAGGGGAGGCAGGAAGGACAGAAGAGATAGCAGATCGTGTTTCCGAAGCTGAAAAGGTGGCTCGGGAAATGAGAGCCGCAGATGCAGCAATCAACGGCGAGGATCAGCCGCCGTTCCTGCCGGGCCTCCCAGACGACTTGGCTTGGGCCATTCTTCTCCGCGTGCCTCGGAGCAACCTGCAGGTTCTCAAAACCGTCTGCCGACGCTGGCACGACAGTCTCGGGTCGAGCCTTTATTTCCAGGCTCGGAAGCGGCTCGGGCTTACCGAGCCTTGGCTGTATGCGTCGATCAGTGATTGGCAGGTGAGCCTGGGACACAGAGGTTCTGTCAGACGCCGCATGAGCCGATGCAAGGCTTGTGCAACTTCCCCTTGGTTCATAGTTCCTAGCTCCTGGTTCCTAGATCCTAGTACCTAGTACTACCAACACACGTGCCAGCGCAATGCGCTGTGTGGCATTCGCCCCAACGGCAGCCACATGACCCTTCCCAGCCCCGCGCCCATGCCCCTCCCCTCCTTACTCCCTGCAGGGTCACAACGCGTGTGTGGCGTTCGACCCGAGCAGCAGCACGTGGCACACACTCCCGCCCATCCCAGGAGCACAGCAGCGGTCGGTGCTGACACTGCAGTTCGCGGCAGTGAAGGGGCGCCTGCTGGTGGCGGGCGTGGTGGAGAGAGAAGATCCGCTGGACTCCGCCTCTGGCGTCTTCATCTACCACCCCGCCCGGTACGCTTGCTCTTCCAGTGCACTTGGCGTAACCCACCCAAGAGTCGCGTGATAATTGATAAGTTGGCTTTGATTATAGAGTGGTAATTGATAAGTTGGCTTTGATTATAGAGTGGTAATTGATAAGTTGGCTTTGATTATAGAGTGGTAATTGATAAGGCCAGCTTGAGCCTTGACTCCGCTGCTTGCATGTTCATCTACCAACCCTCCCGGCGCGCTTGGCTTAACCCTGCTCCGTCGCTCTCTGTCTGTCACACACACATTCACACACATGCGTACGTACTCACACAAGAACTCGCTCTCGCACACATTATCTCTCACACGCAGACCAAATCACACACTCGCACACGGTCACACACACTCACAAAGAATGCATCGCTCTGTGCCCATTCTAGGATCTCCCTCACTCCCCCCCCCCCCCGCCCTGTGCTCTCGCTCCCTCCCTATGTGCCAACTCCCCCACATCCACCTCTGCACGCCACCTGTGCAGGAACGAGTGGAAGCGGGCGGCGGCGATCGGCACGGGGCGGTGGTTCTGCATGTTTGGAGTGGTGGGCGAGCGGCTGTACGTGGCGGGCGGCATCGGCACGTCCAACAGCCTGGCGCTGGTGGGATCCGTGGAGGCGTATGACGTGGATGAAGACCGGTGGTGGCAGGTGAGGAGCGGTGAGGAGCGGTGGGCGCAGGTGGGGACTGGTAGGCTACCGATCTTCCCTGAACTCCTCCATTTGCACTCACGCCCTCGGCCATACCTCCTCTCTCCTTCCCCCATCCCCTTTACCCCTCCTCCTGCCCTCCTCTACCCCTCTCGTACCTCCTCCTACCGTGTCCCCTCCACTCCCGGGCAGGTTGGAACAGCAGCGGCATCAGCACGAGCGGAGCTGATGACACTGCCGGAGTATCAAGCAGTGGTGGGGGGTTGCCTGGTGGAGAAGCAGGGTGATTGTCACTTCTCAAACACACCCTGCCCCCCCACTCCCTGCAGGTGGGCACAGCAGCGGCGTCAGCACGAGCGGAGCTGATGACACTGCCGGAGTATCAAGCAGTGGTGGGGGGTTGCCTGGTGGAGAAGCAGGGTGATTGTCACTTCTCAAACACACCCTGCCCCTCCACTCCCTGCAGGTGGGCACAGCAGCGGCGTCAGCACGAGCGGAGCTGATGACACTGCCGGAGTATCAAGCAGTGGTGGGGGGTTGCCTGGTGGAGAAGCAGGGTGATTGTCACTTCTCAAACACACCCTGCCCCTCCACTCCCTGCAGGTGGGCACAGCAGCGGCGTCAGCACGAGCGGAGCTGATGACACTGCCGGAGTATCAAGCAGTGGTGGGGGGTTGCCTGGTGGAGAAGCAGGGTGATTGTCACTTCTCAAACACACCCTGCCCCTCCACTCCCTGCAGGTGGGCACAGCAGCGGCGTCAGCACGAGCGGAGCTGATGACACTGCCGGAGTATCAAGCAGTGGTGGGGGGTTGCCTGGTGGAGAAGCAGGGTGATTGTCACTTCTCAAACACACCCTGCCCCCCCACTCCCTGCAGGTGGGCACAGCAGCGGCGTCAGCACGAGCGGAGCTGATGACACTACCGGGGTACCAGGCAGTGGTGGGGGGGTGCCTGGTGGCGAAGAACATCGGGTGGGGGCAGCGCCTGGGAGTGGCCTTCAACCCGCGCGGCAACACCGTCACTGAGCTGCCCCCCGCTATGGTGCAGGTGAGCCATGTGCTGGGTGGTGCAGAGTGTTGCAGCGTGGTGGGGCGATATGTGCAAGACTGGGGCACAGGGCAGCGCCTGGGAGTGGCCTTCAACCCGCGCGGCAAAACCGTCACTGAGCTGCCCCCCGCCATGGTGCAGGTGATCCATGCACCGTGCTGCGCGGTATTGGGTGGTGCACTGTGGTGGGGCGTGGTTGGCGAAGCTTGGTGGGGCATGGTGGGGCAGTATGTGCTACGCTGGGGCATAGAGCAGCAGTGTGGCATGGCGTTCAAACCGCAAGGCACAGGGCATTGGGTAGCACAGTGGTGTTCTCCTGAGCAGATAGGACTGGGGGAGTGCTACCTGTGAAGAGCATGAGAGGGAGCATCTATCTCCACCCCTCTCCTCCCCCTCCGGCCCTGCAGGGATGGCAAGGCCCGACAGCATCGGTGCAGGGGCACATGTTTATAGTAGACTTTGGGGACGACCATAAGCTGAAGGCCTGGGACCCACACGCGCACGCCTGGACCTGGGTCGGCAAGGTTCGGCTGCCAGCCACATCCCACAAGCCGTGGGCGGCGCAGCTTGTCTGCTTCCTGGACCACATTTGTCTTGTTCTGCCGGACCGGTCGCTAGTGATGGCCCCTCTGCCACCCCTGCTGCGATCGTTGGGGCAGCAGAGGAGGAGGCGGGAGAGAGAGGGGCAATCGAGGGGGAGGGGAGAAGAAGGGCTGGTGACTGGTGAAGGGGGGGAAGGCACGAGTGTGTGGGGGGATGTGTGGAGGAGGGAGGGGGAAGAGGCAGAGAGTGGGGATGTGTTGTTTGAAGGGTCAGGAAGGAATGACGAGGAGAGGAGTGGAAAGAGTGAGGGGGATGAGGAGGCAGAAGAGGAGGAAGAGGAGGGGGATGTCGAGGAGGTGATACCGGTGAAGGTGATACCTGGGCCGGGAGGGGGGGACAAGGGGTCGGAGCTTGTGCTAACAAATGCAGTGCTGGGCTGCCAGGTGCTCTCCACATGAATGGCTCGTATGCCCAGTTCTAGGCATCGGAGGGGTTTAGAGAGTGTGCTGGTGGTGAGAGAATCAATAAATACAATGCAAATGAATCTAGGTGGAAGGTCCGTGCAACCCAACCTAGCCTACAAAGTACATGTAATATTTTATATGTGTACACTGACAAAAACTACATGGCTGTGAGAAACCGAATGATGATTGACTATTGTGGGTTGGGGTACATAAACCTAACCCTAACTGCTATACCCCATATGACATGCATCACTAAAGGCTACAACATTTGATACACCCCCATAGCCTAAGTGAGGGGTGTCAAGCAAAACCAAGGCAAAAAAAAAAAAAAAAAAAAAAAAGCAAGAGGCGACAAGGTCGTCCTAGGGTTGCGAAGCTTTTTGCGTAATTAACATTATACGGATCTAACACCTAGTATGGATCTCCTTTCTAATGATTGCTCTACTTTTTATACCGAGTACATGTTTCTGGTTGATAATAGCAAAGCTGACCACGTGAGGGTCGAAATCGTGACCTCTCGATAAGATATGCGATCTCCTATCGACTACGCTATCACAGATGTCTCAGCCTCGAGACGGACAAAATAAATCGAATAACGACGCGACGAAATGCTTACTTGCATTAGGGTTTGTGTTCTTTTTTTCTCTCGCTGGTCACGCTGAGCACCCCACCTACCAGAGGAAGGTGAGAAGCATAAGTGCCTAAGCTCCCCCCTAACTACTCCCTATGCTCAACTGCAACTAAGTTAGATGAGTCTTAGATAGACAAGCGTTTACTTGCATTAGGGTTTGTGTTCTTTTTTTCTCTCGCTGGTCACGCTGAGCACCCCACCTACCAGAGGAAGGTGAGAAGCATAAGTGCCTAAGCTCCCCCCTAACTACTCCCTATGCTCAACTGCAACTAAGTTAGATGAGTCTTAGATAGACAAGCGTTTAGTAATCTCGTACCTAACTGTGTAAAAATATGACTTATTAGCTAGACTATGCTGTTTAAGCTTAGGGCCCTTTGTAAAGACTTCGTATCTTTCTTGTATTTTTTTGGTTTCGTTTCTTCGTGCATAATCTGCCATCCGTTTCCTCTATCCACCGTCCTTACTTTTCCTTTTCGTCGGTTGCGTTTTTACCACCTCGTATTTTCATGTTTTCGTTCTTTTTTTTTCTCACACTCAGTTTAGAGCAGTCTTATCCAGAAACTGACGTGTTGTCGTTTCGTAAGGCCTAATTTTTATGTCGGTGCGTTGATTATCTTTAATGCATCTTATTGCTTTCCTTCACATATGTGTTCACCTCTCTTCCCTCCCTTCCCTCTTCTCCTTTCTCTCCTTTTTACCGTTCTCTCTCGATTCTCCCTCCCTTCTTCTCTCTCTTCTTCATTTCCCCTTCTTTATCCTCTCACTACCGTCGTTTTGCTGGTGCAAGTCGCGCTGGTGTGTTTTTGCTGGTGCCAGGCGCGCACCACGCTCAGCGTCATGCGCATTATCCGCGGCGGCAGCAGCAAAGAAGGGCACGAGCATGTCGGCAGAACTTGGTGAGTTTAAACTGTGAAAGGGAGTGAGAGGGTAGTCATGTGCGAAAATACTATGTGATAAAGAATACCGGAGAGGCACAGATTGAGAGGGAGAGTGTGTGTGCGTATGAGGAAGAGAGCGTGAGGAGAAGAGAGCATGAGGAGAGTTGAGAAGAATGTGAAGGAGAGTATGAGTGCAAAATTAGTAGATGAAATCGACATTCTAACCTCTTCTCCTTTCCTTACCGACTTTGTTTCAATGAGAGAGCAAGGAAGAGATAGAGTGATTCTTTTTGTTTCATATTAGATCCTTTCCCCCTTTTGCCTTTTGCATGATATACTTCGTTCCTCCGTGTATGTTACTTTGTTTTTTCTGCTCTCCTTATCGTCCTCCTAACATTCTGTTCAACGTTTTTCCCATGGGGACCATTTCGAGGTAGCTTGCTAGGCGAATTAGGGTATGAGGTCAATTCGTCCTAGTTAGGCCTGTTTTCGTTCCTTTTGCTTCAATTTCTTGTGCCTATGTTATCCGCTTTTGTCTTCGATTCCCTTTCCTGTTTCTGGTTTGTCATTTTTTTAAACCCCTCAACAGTCCACCCCTACCTTCTATATAGCTTCCTCTCTCATTCTATCGATTCTTTTCGTGAGATGACAAGACATTGCGCGTTTGAATGAATGAAAGTAATATTCTCGTGGGTATGGTTTGGCATATATTCATGAGTATGTGGAAGGTATGTGACCGTTGATACATGCAAGCGTGAGATTGCATACGATACGGGATTGCATAAATCATGTAAGCATGAGGTTTCGCGACCTCATGGTTTAAGTAGTCACAATTCGTTCATAGAATCAGTTACGACATGATACTGTTACTACTATTACTAACTAGGTAAATGAGTTATCACTAACTTCAAATTTGTGGATCTGTTTGTATGTGTGTAGTAGCAGTGACATGGTTGTGAAGCTTTGTAGGTGTGTCTGCATGAGTTTGCTGTTGTTTTCCTTGCTCTGTTTTGATTCACCATCAGAATTTTGTTACCTTGCCACCATTAGCTTTTCATTCTGTTTTGTTTTATGATTTTCTCCTCAACTGCCTTGCTTTCCTTTCCATTTCCTCAGCACTCTGATAATAGTTTTCTTCTCTCCCCTCTTCCTTCATTCCCTCTCCTTCATTCAGTGCCTACTTTTTTTTTTCCAGATTTACTCCTGACTTTCATTCCAGATGTGTACATCTGCCAAGATTACTTGTGAAGTGGATAATAGTGATGACTTGTAGGATTGTATTGTATTGATGTTTTATTATTTTTACAGTTCGTGCATTGAGATTTTGTGTTTGCGTGAATCTGTGTCATCGTGTATATCTGTTTGTATGTTTGCGTGTGTGTACCTTTGTGTGTGTGTGTGTGTGTGTGTATGTGTGTGTGTGTGTTGTCGGTGTGTGCATTCATCCATATCCATTGCAATAACAATGCATGTCTGTGATTGGTAAAAAGAAGGCTCAGATCTATCATTTCACAAAAGGTTCATTGGCGCACTCAGTGACTCGTGTGCGACCACTTCGAACTGGATTTGATAGAGTTGACCTTTTTTTTAGACTTCACAGATTGTGTTGTTTCATGTGACAGTTGATTATTCAAAAGCTATGCTGTTGACCTCCCCCCCATGCTAGGCAGGGGATGGCGGTAGCTTGGTTTTTGGGTCGTTAACTGTCACGCATTTTATTAGTTACATGTGCATTATGATTCATGACATATCATAAACATTATGCATTATATATCATCATTTATGCATCATGCATCTATTTATCATCACAACCATATTATATACGGTAATAGTAAAATATAGAATACAAATAGTTCAGCAAATCTGCACAAAACTACTACAAAAAAAAATACTCTAAACAATAGTCAAAACTGCTCAACATGTACCGTATACAGTATGGGGGCGTTATTGTAGTTGACGAAGTTTATTTTCATGTTTTATAATTATGAAAATAAAATTTGTCAAAATTGATCGTAAAGGGTTGCTTCGCAACCCAAAAACAGTTCGGTTCCTTGCTCAAGCCTACTGACTGGTACGTCACTGGGCGGCGGTGGCGGTCGGCATTCCTTTTAGCGATAATGTTTGCCTTTTTATTGCGTTTGTACGCGTGGTGTCGGGTTGTCCGGGCTCGGCGTCATGGGCACAGTAGGGTTCTGCCCTTAGTTCAGGTAAAACGGTGACTGCTGCGTCGTCGCTGACGTGGCGTTGTTGTAGGCGAACTTGATCAGCGGCAACTGCTACTCCCATGGGTCATCGCACGTGGCATGAATCAGCTTCTCCATGGTCTGGTTCATCCGCTCCGTCTGACCGTCAGTCTCGGGGTGGTACGATGAACTGAACTGTAGCCGGGTCACGAACTGCTCCCAAATGTTCCTCCAGAAGTTGCTTGTAAAATTCGTGTCACGGTCGCTGATAATCGCAGCTGGTATCCCGTGTAGTCGAACGACGGTCGCGATGAACAGGCGAGCAGTTTCTTCGGCTGAGATCGATTTCCTGCACGCAGCGAAGTGGACCACTTTCCTCAGTCGGTCAACGACAACCATAACCGGGTCGTTACCACCAGGGCTCGAAGGTAACCCCGTGACGAAATCCATGGTAACCTGCTGCCAGGCATGCTCGGGCGGTGGAATAAGCTGCATCTGACCCGCCGTTCTCTTGCGCGAGCTTTGCATCACGTGACACATAGGGCACGATCCCACGTGTTGCTGTACGTCGATCAACAGCTCCGGCCAGTAGTAATACCGCTGCAGTTGCTGTCGCATTTTTTCTACCCCTAAATGGCCCAAGGTAACCCCGTCATATGCCTCTTGCAGCAGCAGCTCCCTTAGCAGTGAGTATGTCGGTACCCAGATGCGGTTGGTGCCTACTTTTACGTAATACACTCCTTTTGCCTCTATCAGCTGCTGCGAATTCCCAATGGTGAAAAATGGGTCGTTGTGGTATCCGTGGGTAAATAGGCCTGTTAGCAGTGGGTTGGTTTGGGTGAGTTGGATGGCGTGAACTTGGGCAGTGGGCCGGGTGAGGGCATCAGCGATATTCGATGCTCCTTTTTTGTACGTGACGGTGTAGTGGAAATCGGACTCCAGATAATCCAACCACCGTATCTGTTGCGGGTTGAGATTCGGTTTGGTGCGTAGGTACTGTAGTGAGCGGTGATCTGTCCGTACTGTCAAGTCGGCTCCTGTGAGGTAGCATCGCCACACTTTGAACGCGTGCACGATCGCCTGCATCTCGCGGTCGTGTATCGCGTAGTTGAGTTCTCGCGTTCTTGCGAGACTCGTACGCGATTGGCTGAAGGCCGTTCCCAAATTCCTGCAACAGTACTGCTCCCACAGCGATGTTGCTTGCGTCGGTGACAAGTTCGAACGGGCGGTGTGGATCAACGATGTGAAGCACGAGTGGTGAGCACAAAATATTTTTGAGGGCCGAGAAGGCAGCTTCCTTAC